CAATCAGTGCTGCAACGAGCACGTGTGAATTTACAGAGCGCGAGCAGGAAGTGCAGCCGTTTGCATCCACATACTAACACACCTGACTGCACAGGTGGAGTAGATAACACTGGTAACAGCTGTGTGTGGATGCAGCCCAGCTCCATTCAAACCACGTCAGCTGTGTTGCTCTGACCCTGACACAGTCCTCCACGTGTCTGCATGGATCCAGCACAGACCATCACCATCAGATGAGGCCATGTGGGACTTTGGAATAATGTTGTAAATGCACAAAACCTTTGCTCCATATTTCAGTCACAGGTGAAACATGATTGGTGCTGTGTGACCACGTGAGCTGGAGGATACGACACACCTCACAGCTGTCACTGTGTCGGGCCCATGAACATGAATAATCATCTTCTTGTGAACTTGTATAATTCTCACTGTGCTCACAGTTGTGCTGTCAGTGTGTTCTTTGTGCGCTACCTTCAGGTGTGGCTTCAGGATGAGTGGTCTCCACTGGTGCAGCGGCCTCCGGGCTGCGGGAAGTGACGACGACATCCTTCTCTTTCAGTCCTACGTGGGATGATGCACATGTGGTTTGCAGGAAGCACGTGTGTGCACAGTGTGTCACAGGACATATACTGTGTGCATATGTGTGTAGCCTTTAAATGCAGACGTAGTGGGGCTGCAGTCAGGTGTCAAACACGTGTATGTGTTACAGTTTGATCAAAGGTTTGGGTTTCATTTGCTGACATATTATAGTTCATCTTAAACTGACAAACTCCAATAATGACCTTTGACCTCGAGGTGTGTATATCAAACAAGCATTTCTTTGTCCTCAACTTTAACTGGAACCAGCAAAGTTCAAATGTGAACATTAAATAAAAAACTAACAGTTTAGAGCAGTGGGAAACATGTAGTCCTTTTTGAGCACACTTCTAATGTGTCCAGTATGCTTTCCTCACACTGACTTCTTGACCTTTGACCTCTTACAAAGCCACAAACAAGCGTTTGCTTTTACCTTTAAAAAAGTGAGACCCTACAAGGACCCAGACTCTTTATTGACCAACGATAACGTTTGTTACAGTTACACACAAACTTCTCTGAACTCAGGGAAA